GACGTATAATCGCATACATTCAATTGAATTGAGTCAAATTCTACTAGGTAATCCGACAGTGCATCGTAGATCTGCTGTCAATTGTGGAACCTTCACTTTGGTGTGTTTTCCATGTGAAGGTAACTCAGCTTGGTATGGCCTATGTGGGATCACACACGTGTAGGTAATTTCTGAGCTGATAACAGTACTACCATGCTCATCAGCATGTATAGTTAGGAGTACCAGGGCTATAGTCAGGATTCCTTTTATATACTCCTGTTTTTTTCACAGTAAACTGTGAAAGAACTTTGTGGGCATAAAGCACAGGAAGAGATACCTGTAAGTATGATAGAAATAAAATTATTTAGACTGTATTCTTGTTACAAAAACCAGACTGTTAGTCTGAATGAAAACTGCTAGCAGATCATAGCCTGTGTGTTCCATTGCATCATCTGGCCTCTTAAGGAAAGGCTATAGGTAGAATGGAAGATAGGAAGAAATAAATTTCCTTCAGCATTTCAGGTTTGCTTTTTCCCATCCCCACATGTGAAGAGAAACATGTCTGTTTTTATCTACTTGGCTAATGTAACTGAAATAGATAAAACAGTAGATAGCTCCATAAAGGTCACATGCTTTCCTTTGAGTCTAGTTTCTTGTAATATAACTGTTACACCAGGGAGGTAGATGTGATTTTTTAGATATATCTACATAGAGTATCAGCATTTTTTAGCTAGGATGGGGATAATTTGCCATTTCCCTCTCAGAAATCACCAGCTTCAAAATTAGAAGGAACTAGTTCAGAAGTAATAAAATAAAAACTAGGGGAGGGAAATGACACTGGCATCCTGAAGTGTGTTGAAAGTGACACTAGAAAGCAATGAGCTTCGCTCCGAGCATTGGAAACTTCAGCCACAGAAGGAAGACCAACTAGTGTGAAATTACTAGTTTGTTAGGCTGAGTTCCTGTGTTCCACATCAGATGCTGGTTTCTTTGAAAGTGGTTATCGGTTTCTAGCTGAAGTTAACAGAATCTGCCAGGGGATATAAATTATGCCCAGGAATGGCATGGCATTGATATTTCAACTGTACCTTATCTGAAAAAGTAATTTGCTTTGTGGTTCGAGGCTTGTAGTAGTGCTGTATGTAGTCTTCTGGCTGTGATATGTTGTATTTGTTATGGCAGCTGCTCACAAATGACTTCTTCAAGTCATTGAAAATGGCTTGAAAAAACCTAAAAGCTTTGGTTTTGTATTGCAAGATTGAATTCTTTTGATACAGTGCTAAAATATCGCTTTTGTAATTTTTAAAAACAGGTGAAATATGAATGCCCTGTTTTCTTCTAACTGGAGGTGTAGACAACTTGAAGAAACAAAGGAAAAATATGCTGCTTTCAAACATTTCTCAGTTTAACTTTTGGTGGTGGTCTTCAGTGTACTGACTTTTTTTGAAACTAATTGTACTTTATGCTAGCTTTCTGTAGCTTTATTGTGGAATAGTAATGCTTTGCCATCTGACTTAGGGCGTGCATTTGGAAAGACAGTAGGTTTGACAAAGGGATGGGTAGTTGACAAACATTGTTTCTACTCTTTTCTCCAGAATTTTACAGTTCAGTAATTTTTTAAAATTTGTCACTAATTATTTGGAAGGCATTTTTGGAAGTCATAGTTGGCAGAGCAGATTTTTATTTCTATTTTTATATAGCCTAAAAAGACTGTACTCATTACCAAAAACCCAGTTGTTTTGAGATGGACTTGACTTGATGGTAGTTGCTGATTCTCCAAGATACGTCAGTAACTTTTGATTCATCTTAAAGCTAATAATAATCTCCCAAGTGTGTTGAATTATCTTCTCTGTTAGTTTTTCCTTTTTACTTTAAGGAACAGTTTCAAGGTGAGTTTAAGCCAGTCTTGGGAATTAAATTATACAGCAGTCTAGTGATGATCTGGAATAGTCTCTTAATTAAGTCTCTTAATCTTATCTCTTAGATACTTTAATGTCTTGATTAAGAAGTTAACATTCTTTTTCCACTTATGAACAACTGTTCCGCAGTTAGTCCTGAGAGATGGCTCTTTTCCTGGGCTTTTTTTGTTGTGCTTTACATGAATGTATCTTCAGTAATCCCTGCTATTTCTCAATCTGGCTATGTCAGGATAAGTTTTATTAGTCTGGTGCTTATTGAGAGTTTCAGCAAACTTACTCAGCCCAAGCTGATGCAACAGCTAAACCTTAACTGGCTAGTTTAAATAAAGTATGAAGATGCTTCCAAAAGTTACACTGCATTTTAAAGGTTGTACTGTAGACCTACTTTTAAGACTGAATGTTGAGTAAAGACCAGCCAAGATTACCAGAGTACATACTAGACTTTACAAGATCCTCCCTCTGTTGATGTGATCTTCAGAAACTTCTGCAAATATGCTGTTTACCAACACTTGCATTGAATTTTGGTTGTGATTAGGGAAGGCTGGAAGGCTTTTCAGGTGTAGGTTATCTGCAATTACAATGGCTCCTGTGCAAGTGGGCTTTATAAATCAGCTTTTTCAGGGTGGGTGTTGTGATGCAGTTTCTGCAATTAAAAATGAATAACACCAGAAGAGAGACAATAGACTAGAGAAAAACTTGGAATACTCTTTCAAGGCTAGTAGTATTCCTATAAGATTGTATTTTGTCTTTTGTGACAAACGGTGTGAAATTTGAAAATGGATTAATTTATCTCCCCTTAAGTAAATACACCAGCTATATAGCATGGCAATAATTTAGGGTTTAGTACTCAACATTTTTTGATGGTCCCCAGGACATTTGTTATGTACTGTAAAATGCCATTTTGGTGTTTTGAATCACAGAAGACATCTGTCTATAAAAGTTTCTATTAGAAAGTTTAAGAAACCACCTTAAGGAGGTAGAAGAAATAACAAGGTTTAGGATGACTGCATATCTTTTTTTAGTTATTGAATACTTAAATGCCATCATTTAGGAGTTTGAAGCAGAGGGAAAGGGATGAATGTGAAGGTAGCAGTTAGCTGAGGGTAAAGAACAGAGGTGGTAAGTGGAGGATGAGGAAAAATGGAGATGACGTATCAGGTGAAGAATTAGGATAGCTGTGGTTGCAGTCACCTTGTAGCTTTAATTTCATTCATATGGAGTCTGGACTGCAAAGCCAACAGGTGATATTTCTGTTACTATTGTCCTGTCCCACTAAGTCTCATTCTCAGTTATTTTTGTCTCTTGTATACTTTTCCATACTCAGTTTTTATATTTGTGGGTAATATAGGTCAGTAGTATATTAACAGATCAAGATTTTTTTTTCCCTATTTTTCTTTTGAATACTGTAAACATAATGAAGATGGGGGGCAGATTTATTTGTGTGGTTAAATGGTTAGAGTTTTAGCAAAACATTACTGACTCATTTAAATCAACCACTGTATTTGAGAACTTGCAGTGAACTTTCAAGCAAAGTCCTCCAGCAGAGCAGGA